GTGAGTAGAGTATTGTATTTGTTTGTTTGTTTGTTTATATGTTTGTTCTGGTATATTATGACTATGAGAATCTATGATTATGACTAAGAGAGTGTGTAAGGGGTGAGTAGATTATTGCATTTGTTTGTTTGTTTGTTTGTCTGTTTGCGTGTTTGTTCGGGTAGATTTTGACTGTGAGAACCGCGACTGTGTAAAGGGTGTGTAGATTATTAATGTTTCTTTATATGTTTGTTTGTTTGTTCGAGGGATATCTACTAGCATACTTTAATGGTTCGGGGGGGGGGGGCAGATAAGGGGAAAGAGAGAATAAAGTTGTGGAAATGTACTGATATATCAATGATGATAATCTGTATTTACTTAAAATAACACAACTGGTGAATTTAGAAACAGCAGTAATGATGATTGTATGAGCAATAGTTATTGTATTCACGACAGAGGCTACAGCAATCAAAAATGCATTACGTGAAAATGAGCATAATGTTAATTCCCTATTGCAAAGCTTTTATAGTACTTTTAATAGGTTTATTTTCTTTTTTTTTATACACTGTTGTTTGCACGTGTTTGTATGTTTGTGTGAGTGTGTAGGTTTATCTGTTTGTATGTCTTTCTCTCTCTCTCTCTCTCTCTCTCTCTCTCTCTCTCTCTCTCTCTGACTCTGACCCTCTTCCTCTCTCTCTCTCTCTCTCTCTATCTATCTATCTATCTATCTATCTATCTATGTATCTATCTATCTATCTATCTATGTATCTATCTATCTATCTATCTATCTTTTTCTCTGTCTGACTCTGACCCCATCTCTCTCTCTCTCTCTCTCTCTCTCTCTCTCTCTCTCTCTCTCTCTCTCTCTCTCTCTCTCTCTCTCTCTCTCTCTCTCTCTCTCTCTCATTTTTCTATATCCATTTCCCTTTTTATCTGCCTAAATTTCCCCAAAAGAAACACATGTTTTTTAGTAATAAGGATAGTTCAGCGTTCATACATGTATATATATTTTGTGAAAAGCCATTCATTCCACTGCAGAACCTAGGCCTCTCTCCACTATTGAGAGGTTATATGGCATTACCACCCTTGCCTGATTGGATGCCCTTCCTTATCAACCGCGGTTGGGCGCGCTAACACTTGTGCCACGGCGGCGATTTCCACTACGACTCCTACATTTGACTTTTATATATGTATATATATATATATATATATATATATATATATATATATATATATATATATATATATATATATATATATATATATACACACACACATATATCTCAATCTAGCTATCTATTTACTACAATCAGCTTCGAGACTTTTTTAACCGCTGGCGATGAAATTTCGACTTTACAAAGTAGTAATTCGGCAGACTTTAATGAGATTAAGATCAGAAAAAGCAGAAAAAAAACAGTGGAGAGTTGCCACGAGTCTGAAGAAAAGAATCCACAATCCTAGATGATTTATTCATAATTAAATATATAATTTGTTCATATCTCTAATCCAGAACCTTCGCCTACGATTGTAAATATGATAATTTGCGAATATGAAAGTTGTAAATGATGTTTGATAGTATCATTGACGAAACGCACTGGCTCTGAATATGAACATTAATAAAATTAGTGATTGTGTTTCTAGCAGTGATAGATGTGGTTGTTTTTGTTGCTGTTGTTGAATATGAACAGTGATAAAAATAGCAAATGTATTTCAAATATTAGATCTACTAGTAGTTGTTGTTTCTGTTACTATTGGTGTTTGTAAATGATATTACTGAAATTACGCTTTTTTGCTGTAAAGGAGATATTAGCCGAAGAAATCGCAATAGCACAATTATCAGTAATAGTCGTACCTTGTGGCTATTAATGTTATTATCGCCATGCTATTATTAAGCAGTAGCAGATGTTAATCTCTCCCTCTCCCTTCACTGCGGCCTAATCTCATATTATCGTATAATCCTACCTCCCTCCCCCCCCCCTTCTTTTATTCTCTTATCCCTCTCTTTCTCCTTTCCCCTTTTCTAACCCCTAACTACCCTCCATCCTCCTCCCCTCTCTCTCCCCTATTCCACCTCCCTCTTTCTCCTTACACCCTCTCTTTCTCTCCCCCTCCCCCTCCTTTCCCCTCATTACACCCTTCCTCCCTTTCTCTCCCCTCTTTCCTTTCCCATTCTTCTCCCTCATTACCCTCAGGTCAAGTCAGGTCACGGGTGGCAATGACCTGATATTACGACTGACCTTGATGAGGGTAATCGATCGCCTGCCTTATCAATTTCCTGGGGGGTGGGGGTGGGGGGGAAGCAAGAAGTGTGGGTGGGGGAGGGGGAAAGAAAGGAGTGTGGGTGGGGGTGGGGGAAAGAAAGAGATGGGGGGAGGGGGTGGGGGAAAAAGGAGTGGGGCCGGGGGAGGGCGTGGGGAAGGGGAAGATGAGGGTGGGGGGTTGGGGGGGAAAGTAAGGGGTGTGGGTGGGGGAGGAGGAAAAAAAAAGGGGTGGGGGTGGGGGAGGGGAAGGGGAAGATGAG